CTTCATTGATTATGTGTCTTTTGAACTTCGTGTAGTTATTGGTGCCTTCTTGAAAGGAGATGATTTTCCTAGCCAAGGAATCACTGAAGTTTACTAGGCTGAAACTTTAGGGACTAGAGATCAGCTTTTAAGTAGTTCCGGTTCTGACCAGATCTGTGTGCATGACTTAAACTTCTGTTTCTAGGACTATGGACTGAAAGTTTAAATGGTGACAGGTAGTTTTTGGTCTCTTACTCTTGGAGATATTTGACTTAAGAAATGAAAAGAGAATGATTCTCAGAAGGTGAGTTCCCCTGTGCTTCTCTAAAGTAAACCATTTAAAAATAAAACCCTAAAAATGAAGCCACCTAAAATCAAGGCTTTTCAAAATGTTACCCAAATAATTTGTGATCTGCAAGGCCCTTCCTGTTTGTACACAGACTCAGATGTTTTCAGAAGTAAATAAAGGGTGAAATGAGGATGGAGCAGGGATTTTTCCACATCAGGCTATTTCTTCTTTGTAGCAACTAGGGGAATGAAAAGTTCTCTGAGAAGCCCTATGACATTTCAGAGAAAGAGGCAGTTTCCCAGAAGTTCTGCGAATATCCTGACCTTCACAGTGCTAGCATTTCTACATCACCCTACGCACAGTGGCCCAAAAGCATCACGCAAACACTGGCCGGTCTCGGCAGAGCTCCACTCTGACCCACTCCTGGAGGATGAGCGCTCAGCATCCGGGTTATTCACACTGCACAGCACGTCCTGTGTGTCTACGCCGACCCTACACCCCCCCATTCCTGTAGCACCACTTCTGGAGACAGACCGTATCCCATAGTTTATAACAAATCCCAAATGAACTGGGGAGGGACTTGCCTGTTTCTCTAGGTACCCTGTCAGCACACAAATGGTTTATTCCCACAGCTTCCCTGCAAGACTAATGCAAATGAAAATGGTCCCTAAATTCCAACCTGGATCTAACCACGTAACCAATTTTCAAAAAAAAAGAACAGTATTTGGGGTACTGCTCAGCCAAGACACTGAATTAACCCCACGTTGTACACATAACCTTAGTGACAAAGCTATATACTTCTACTGTGTAGTCCTTTGCTCTAGTTTGGGAACAAAAGCACAAAACCTTAAATTGAGCAGGTGGTACAAGACACAGCATAATGCATTTTTATGGACCTTCCATATGTCCTTTCCAATATGCAGTGAGATAAATTCTCCTTTCACTTACATTCATGCAGTCCCACTCAAATCTCACTCCTTAGTACCATAGAAAATTCATCTGTGAAAATCACGCTGTGCGTGACCCATCCATTTTTTAAAATTAAAACAAAACAAAACAAAACCTCAAAGGCCTGTCTGGGTATCACAAATCTGTGCCAATTCTCATCCCTTATTTAACTCAACCATGTATGCCCTGAGTTACCCTGGCCAACTGCCTACGGATTTGTATGCCTAATGGCTTCTTCCTTTACCTCAGTTTCTCCAGTCCTAAAATAATGGTAGTGACACATACCTGACTCCTAAGTTGGTACACGAAGCTGGATTTGTTCAGTGCTCTTCAATACCAGAAGAGACTTACAGATGAAGGGAGCCACAGGGAAATACTGACCAGCATGTTTGGGCATTTCTGTGTGCAATACGGACTTCTAATATTATTCCAAAACGAACACAAATGCAAGATGTGTTCAGATTTCTGTATTTCTAATAACATTCTCTCAGGAATGTCAAAACTTAAAGTCTAAGAAATAATTGCTCTATAAGAGCATGCTAATGGCTTGCTTTACAGATGGAAAATAAAAAAGTTGTGTTTTCTTCTAAGCACAGGGTTGACACTGGTTTATTTCTTTCAAAAATACTTACAAAAGTCAGGATTTCTCTGTATATATGTGACCTTGATTCCTAGATGGCACATGAACTACTTAGAGATCATGTTACTAAGTTATTTGCAGTTAAAGAGGAAAAAAAGGCTAAAATTAATGGGTCACTGGGTATTTTCTTCTGAGAACTTAAGTACTTAACAGTAAGAAAAAAACAGTTTACAGCCAGGTGGCTTGAGGGGATATTTTGTTGAACACTGATTAAAAATAATTTCTTCTAAATGAGACCTAACCACAAAATGGGACCATTAACGAGCAGGGACATTCTCACCAGAAAGGAAACTACGCTTGATCGACTCCTGCACCGCCCACAAACCCCAGGTCTTTTTCTCTCTCACACATACTCTCTCTTATTTTTTTTCCCCCTTTTTCTCCTCTCCCCTTTTCTTGTTCTTAATAGCAGGGTAAATAAGCAGCAAGTGATGCTGAAATGTTTTCGGCCAAAAACAGAGGCCAAACTCCTCTGAGAAAACATTTGGCCTCTGTGGTTTTGTAATATGTTCCAGAACACTGAGTTCACTGAAGAACATTGTGAAAAACTCCCATCGGCTGCAGTGATGCTGGGGAATGTTACTGTATCCCAACTTCCAATTGGTCCATTTCCTGCAGGCCTTGTTAAAAAAAAAAAGGAAAAAAAATAGTGCTATGTGGGAGTTAAAACAAGTTCTCATGGGAAAAATGAATGGCAAGAAATTCTAGCTTTAAAAGAAACAGCTAATCTGCTAGTTTGATTGTTCTTCAAAACTTACAATGAACCAATAATCCTAATTAAAAACACTTGGCCTAGTTCTCTAAAGCATCATAGCTTTTTCTATGCTTCGTTTGTACACACCATAGACTATTAGTTTTTTTCTAGTGCTCACTAACAAAGTGCTGACTTTGTTGGGATGGCTGAGCTAATTTCGTGAACTCAGTGTGAAACCTTAGCTAAACAAAATTGTGGTAATTTTCCTTAATTTGTAAAAGTGATTGGAGTGCAAACAAAATTTTCCTCTTGGGTCAATCCTATAATTTTCAATTAACTAAAACTAATCGGCAGGCGTGTACTGAACCTGCATTTTGTTTAAAGGGCTGGAAGGCACTTCTGAAGGTCAGGATGCATTAATTGTTTTTATTTTAGTTTCATTTAGTCCTTTTTAAAAAGCCACATTTAAGTTCAGGCTGCCTCTAAAAGGAAAATGCAAATTGTGTAAGGTACAATTTCAGTCACAATAGCTTTTCTGTATCTACCGTAACTCCATAAAAGCTGCATAAGTAAGAGAATTGACCATGGATTGGATCACCTTTGATTTTTTCATTGTTGTTTAGTATTTCATAACTTTCATTTATTGAATGAAAAATAACGTGTTTTAGACACTAACCTGAAAATGCATATATGGAAACACTCTCCCTACTGGGACACCTTTATTTCCACATTCAGCCATCTGCTTCTGGGCAGACAGGCTAAATTGCCGCACTCATTTTTACTGGAAAAGCTAATTAATGATGATCTGAAAAGCAAAACCAAAATGGGTCCAAGCCATTTTTACATTTAAATCCCAAAATGAAGTCCCAAAAAATTTCTTCTCAAAGTTGAGGGGCACAGGTTTCCTCCCTTTTTCCTTCTGCATGCATATTTGCTGTTTCACCAGCGCAAGATGCAGCCACCCCTGTGGCTTGACAACATGCAGGACAGCACAACTTATTTTGAGTAACAAAGTGAGAAGGGAAAGGATTCATGGTCAAACTGTCCAGAGCTCTGGCTGACACTTTCATGTGGTATACACTGGCAATTCGCACCAGCTGGCAATCTGACCCTTTGCTTTTTCTTTTTCTTCTGTTCCAACATATTCAAACCCTAAATAACTTTTTTGATATGGTGTGTTATTGTCCAATATATGACTCGCCCACACATTGTTGAAATCATAATGCTCATAATAAATACACACAGCCTCCACAAGCGCCTGCTGCTCAGCCAGCAAGGCGATACATGTCCACTTTAAGCCCCAGTTTAAAGAAACCCAGCACATAATCCCAAATGGGGGGGAGGGTATTTGAAAAAGACAACAAAGCTTTATAAGGTACCTTTGTTCAATTTGCTCAGTGTTAAGAAAAATCAAATGAGAGCTTTGTTAGAGCACAGAAGTCTCTCCTCTGCCTTGAGTCTCTGTGTGTACATTCACAGTTGGAGCAATATACGTGCCCAGTGTAATTCAGAATGCCTCGTAGCCACAAGTATTTATGATATATCTTATTCTTAAAGTTTTGTGGGCAATCAAGAATGGGGAAAGGAATTGCACTGCATTGTGATGAACCATAGTTCAGGCCAATGGTTACAGAAGTATTCCTGCCTGCATATGTTGAACACACGCATAAAAGGACAAGCTCATCAAGACTTGGCCAAGCCATTAATTCTTGTAGCACACATACCTTCCAAGGAATCAATGACATTTCTTTTTAAAAAGTTAGACTGCTACCTGATTTATTTCCCAAGCCATTCTTACCACTACTGAGAGTGGTTTAACATTGAAAGCACCTGCAATGTCCCAGCATTATATTTTTGTTAATAATTCTTCAGGCCAAACCACTCGACCTGGTGGTCTCGGTGCGGGATGCCACCCCAAAACACACTGCAAGTGGCTATGTCTGAGCATCAGCTGGGGTGAAAGCTACTTAGTGTCCCTGGAAGCCAGAGACATGTACGTTATGGTGAGATAGGCAGGGAAACAGACTGCTGCTTTGCACACTTGCACCACTTGCGGGACAACATGAGATAGAGATATTTAGCAAGACGCTTCTTGGAAGGCAGATTCATGATTGCACTAGTGTGTCTGGCTCTCTAGCCTGCGCTCTTCCTCTGTTTGTTTAAGTACTGGAGTGTCTGTTTGTCTCCTTCCTTCCCCCTCCTGGGTAAAGAGATGTCCCATTGTGAGGGCAAACAAGCAAACAAGAATCCCACACTGGTACGGTTTCAGATTCATCTCTACGGTCATCCATTTCTGAAATCCAACCTTAAATTAGTCCCTTCAATGACGTGCTCAGCCAAAATAATAAAATACAGTACAGCTTTTAATGACAAAAGGAGAAACCATAGCAAGCGTGATATATTGCCTGTCCTATTTCTCCACATTATACCTCGTACTAAAGCATCCTTACCTGTGTAAATGAATCTTCCAGGCGTTCCCTTGCAAAACTGCTTAGACTTGTAGGACAATGTGACTTCTACAACCCCTGGGATATGTCGGGGAGGCGTCTGCACGCGTATGGCATGAGGAGTAATCAGCTAGAGGAAAACATTGAGAAGGGAGAAGAAAGGGAAAAAAAACACTGTTAGATGCTGAACACTTCTTTAATAACACTTTCCTCTCAGATCACAGTAAACAAGCTTTGAAACATGTAATTAACCTGTCAATGTTTGAATACAATCTTGATGTAATCCACACAAAAGCCAGTGAGTACAATATTTACAAGCATTCTCCTCCTCAGCCGTAACAACATTATTTCTGTTTTCATACATGGCAGGCACTCGCTTCCTAGTACAAGCATTAGCCCTGGTTTAATGCAATAACTTTAGCTCACAGCAGCAGGACGCCCATGTTTGCTCTGGTGAACACTGGGGTCATGACAGTGTCCAACAAATCTGACTGATAAATGACAGGCAGCTACACGTGGGAACACGGCACAGCGCAGGCTGAGATTCACTGCACAGCCCAAGCCCAGGCAGGCTTTTGGATGCAGTGGTCCCCAGCTGACATCTGTACGCTGCACAAGCACCACGTGCTGCTGTTCTAATTTCTATTCATTTGGTGGAGGTATCGCTAATTACTGCAGAAACACAGAGTCTGGCTTCAGAAAGATGCTGGATCTTTCCTTGCAAATGATCAGAGCAGTCAAAAGAGAGAAAACAAGTATCTAACCATCACTTCCAGTTTGCCTTCACTACAATGACTTACACACATCTGAGAGGGCTCCTGCAAATGTGGATTTACACAGTAATAAGCAGACAAACTTAACTTTCTTTCTAATGGGTCTGGGATCCTGATCCTCTCAACACAAAAGGTTGGGGTGGGTCAGTGCTGCACTTTCCACGCTCTAGACCACGTTTGCTCTTTTAGCAATCTGAACTGGATTTAAAACATAGTCCCTGAAACTAACATTAGAGCCATCTAGGAATTCATTAATTTATGGCAGGTTAACTCAAATCTCTGCTGCACTCAAACTACAGCACTGATCTACCCCTCACTGGAACGTCCCCTTCTCACTTATTATGCTTCCTCAAACAAGAATAGTAAAAAGAGGTACATAGAAAAGGTGACGTGGTTATGTCCAGCAACCAAGATATAGCTCTGGTACATGGAAAATCCTTCTCTAACTGACTGTGCCACATTAACACACTTCTAGAGAGGCAAACAAGACCAAGACCATAACCAGCTTTGACAGTAAGCAAAGCCACAGTCAACTGCTCTATGCTGCTGGTTGAATCATGTCCTGGATTCAGGGATACATTTTAATAGATTTTTTTTTTAATAAATAGCTAATTTTATTCATATTTTTACTAAGAATCAAATATTTCAAAATTGCAGTAAGATCCTACTAAAATATCAGACTTTTAACCAGTTCTTTTTTTAGGGCAAAGGACTAAAAAAGCACAGAAAGCACAGAAGGAGAGTCTGTCTGAGAGCCATCTGTGTTACTGAGGGAAATGACATACACAGTAAGAAGTTCTCCATATTTAAAATAAGAAAATTAATATTAAATCAAGTTGAAGATTAAAACCAAAACTACCAGCATCAAATGCTCCAGAAGTTATTCAGATCGACAGAAGTCAAAAGTCATATGTCATTTTAGAAATGATCATGAAGGAATCAATGCCTTCTTGTTTGTGAGCTCCAAAGAACATGTTTTCAGGCTCTGCTTTGAAATCCTGTGATTTAGAAACTTACTCATTTTTTAAAAAACCTGCCTTTTTTCTAAATTACTCACTCTATCAACTGGCTTAAAAACAAAAACCAAAACAAAACCAAACCAAAAAACAACCAAAAACCAAACCGCAAAATTCCAAGGATTGGTTTTACTTCAAATGAGTTGTTTTACAGTCGGGCTGACCAAAGCCTAAAAGTCTAGGCCAGTTCTCTACATGTCCTCAATTGTCAGCGGAGGCCGAAAGCACTGCCAAACAGCAATTTATTTCCAGTGCTTTAGACACCTCTCCTGTTGGGATGAGCTGCTCTCTGGAAGCATCTACCTTTCTCCAGTGAACTGAGATGACAAGTTCAGACTAGATGCTTAACTGCAGGCAGCCAAACACAGCTGAGATAAATCCCATCCTCAAGTGGTTCTAGTTAACTGGGTGAACTGGCAAGATGCAAAAAGTTTCATGACATTTTTAGGGGGAAAATATTTGTAAAAACAGCCAAGGATTTTAATAGTAAAGGTTAACATGCTAGTCTTACTACATCAGCGTGTGCCTTGCACCCATCACCCCCATTCTGGCATGAGCTATACAGGCAGCTTCTGGTTGTATCTTTGAATTTCCCAGCATTTACTGGTCTGTCACCACTTTAATGTTCTTTAAACATAATTTGTGGCATTTTCCAATACTCATCTTCCCTGGTTCCCAAGAAACGTCTGACCTATTTATGGTCCATTGTTACAGAGAGCTGGGGAGAGTTAAGCAAGTTTCCTGGTTTGTTCTCCACAAACAGTTTGGTTTTCCTTTGTGCTCTGAAGTAAATAAGTTTAACTGTGTTTAAAACCACAAATATACAATAATGTCGCCCACACATTCCCAAAGGGTGAACATTATGTCTGAAGTCCTATGGTTTAGGATACTCAGAATATATTTCACTCCTCTCTTTTCTAGAACTAAAGCTTGGGAGGTAAACCAGAACAATACATGTGCCTTTTCCTTTTACTTTTTCCCCTTAGCATCTGCCACTGACCACTGTCAGGGATACAGTGCTGAGCTAGAAGGACCTGTCTACACTGTCAGCCTGTGGCCTGACCTTGGGAATCCACTCCACCTTCTCCTAGCATGTTTTCTACTCTCACACTGACATAGCCTGTACCTTCTTCAAGGCACAGTTTGTCTCGTATTTGCACATAAAGCATCTGGAAAAGGTGAGCTATCAGCATCAAGGGATATTAAAAGTAAAGGCACCACTTGTGGAAGCCTCTGAGCCCCAAACTGTTGGAGGCTGGCAGAGAGGTCTGGGGAAGCATCATGACATGCTCACCCTGTTGTTTTTATAGACATCTGTCATTGCCCAGCACTGAACAGAAGATCCTGGGCTAGATGAACCTCCACGTCTGACCCCTTATGGCCCTTTCTATGTTCTAATCTCAGGTGGGAACTCTTGCTGCATTAACAGACATCATACAACTGTAGCGATGATATGCCAAGAACTAACAATTTGCAAATATGAGTTATGTACATTTCTGAACACATTTTTTTAAAACAAATCTTGAGTAAGGCATTAACCTGTGATTTGGAGATGAACCCACCAGCCAAAATCCCAGATCCAGCTTCCTCTTCCATTCTGGCATTTGGCTAATTGAGATCTGCAGCTGGACATAAAACTAGTAACTGGACCCTTTCTCCCAAGGCATTTTCAAGTGAACTGGTCTGGTACTTGGCAACTGCACTAGCTGTTTGATATAAACTCTTACATGTCAGGGAACATGCTGTGGATTGCATTAAAACCTGAGTTAGAGACCTTCAGAATGGAGGGAGGTGCGTGTCCTAAAAAATCCAAAACACATTTGGTTTGAGTATGTACAACAAGACTCTTTCTGTGGTTTGCTAATATATTCGAGACATTCTTGTGTGATACAGCATCATCTCACACTCTGTTCGGAGTGCCAGGTTACTTTCTTTTTTTAAAAGTGACATTTTATAAGGAGATGTCATTAATCTGAGTCACTAGTTTATTTTTGCATGCTTGAGCTCTGGTTTGTGGTTAGGGAAATGGTGACAATCAGTCATAAATTTAACTTGGACTCTGTGTGAAGAGGACTATTAGGAGAGGAATGAAGGAAAATCCCACCAACTGAAGGTAATGACAGCTTTCAGTGTGAACAGGACCCTTAAGATACCTATATTTTTAAAAATGACCAGTGACTTTGCATGCCTCAATTCTGGGCATCCAGAGGCTGCTTAATAAGCTTTGGTTTTCAAAAAGAGGGTGCCTACTAATTTTTTAAAAATGAGTCAGACCTCCAAAATAAGCACTCAAAAACAGAGACTTCCAAAATCAATAATAAACATAAAAAGCAAAATAAAAAACTGTGTCACAGAATTTGATTCAGCAGCATAAATAAAAAAAGAAAAAGCCCAAAAGCACCAAACCAAAAAATCGTCCTCTGTTTTTGTGCTGTACAAAGGTAAAAGAACTGATGTTTCAGTGCTTCATCTTTTCTTAATAGAAAAGAAAAAGGAGTTGTTTCCAGCTGACTCTGTACAGCTGGAGGAATGTTCTTGGCAGGAAAATGTTTGAAGAAATAGTTCATTTTAAGCAAATATTGTGGAATATTTATAAGAAACTAATTTTGTCTTCACAATCATGTATTTGCCCTGAAACTTGACTCTCAGAGTTTCAGCTCCACTATAAGAGAGAGAAACAACAGAGGATTTTTATCAGCAGCTCAGATTTTGAATATTTGCAACAACACACAGACCCATAATGCTGGGAAAAACCTGTAAATAACAACTCCGTCTGTTTGGGGACTGGGCAAAGAGAAAGGCAGAGACTCTCTGGCAAACAAACTATTTGCTGGGAGTTGTCTGTCCAGATTCAGCATGTGCACACGATATACCAATGCCTTTTTTTTTGTCAGTTATAAAAGTCCCTTGAAAAAAAAGGCATTAGGTGGCCCATTTTGCTGTATTCTAAAAATATCAAGGACTTTAAAAGTCATTTTTATAAAGTAATAAGGGAGTTAAGGATTAATTGAACCTACTGGCTTAGTGTATCTGCATTTCTGCACAAAATTAATGTGACAAATTAAGTTTTTATTTAGTTCTCTCTGGCTGAGAAAGGTTGTAATTATGTTAGAGTGTTTACAGCTAAAATATATGTTTAAATAATAAATATGTGTTTCAGAAACCATTTTAAACCTCCTTTTTTAACACAGTCAACTCCATTTCAAGCATATAAATATTTCAATTACAAAACTTGAATACATGTAAAATAAATTAAAAATATATTATTTACATTTCAAATTATTTATAACATATGCTGCTTGACAGCAACAAATTCACCCTTAAAATGAACAATTTTTTTTTTTTTGCTTTTAACTTTGCTTCTAAACAGTGGTAGGATTTATATTTTAAATATCCATGCATCTCAGGTACTTACATGGATTTTGCTATAATAAAATCTGAGTAATATAGGACCTTTATGATAATTATCTTCACAGCACCTCTCCAAAGAAGGTGACTAATCTTATTACTATGCCAGAGAAAGAATTGAACTCTAAGCAGATTATGTGATTTGCCCAGGGTCCCATGCAAAGTCTGTGGCAAAATGATGCTTAATTTAAATATTAGACTTCATCCCTCAAACCACCTGCAATTATAACTGGAAGTGAAATTAGAAAACTCCATGGGAAAACTTTCTGCAAGACTCGCTCTTGTTCTTTCGTTTCCTATCTAGTTCTATTTTGGATTTTTTGCAGCTCAGTTAAAATCATGTTTTCTTTGGATCCATGAAGCAACAGAATGAACTTCAAAATTCTTCTTGATTTCAATGGCAAAATAACCTGGCCAGGTTTGCTCAAAACTGGGCCCGACTGACAACTCAGGATGAACCCACTCCAGGTTTGAAATGGTACTGAAACTCAGATCGACAGTTCAATTCTACACTCTATTGAAGTAAAACAAAAATATTCTTCCTGGGTACTGAGAATGCACTAGACGTTTTTAGAAATGAGAAGGCAAATGTAAGAACTTATTTTGTACTTCCTAGGTGGCTAGTATATGTAATTTGGATTATTTATAGAGCACTATTATTTAGAGATCATTCAGACAGCTCATGTGTTTCTGCACTTGTTTATCATGTTTGTCTGTTTCTTTTCGAAATAACTTGTTTTCTCCTATAGGATTTTCTATTGCTCTCATAGGTTATGAAACTGAGAACCAATTCTGTAAGAGAGAGACAGTGAAACAGTTTTCACTCAAAACCAACTTGCAGCCCATTATAGCACTCGCAACAAACAGGTTGACTTTAGTCTGGATGGACCCCTTCTAACATTATTAATTTTATGACAAGGCCATGCAACCATCAGCAACAATGTTTTGACCACTTCTCCTGAGATCAGAAAGATCCAATTCTGCGGTACCAAAATCAGAGCACTTTTCTCCCGGCCTCTTCACCTTTCCCTGTTAAATGTCTGTAGCCATAATGGCTTTAATCCTAATACACAAAATGCTTACACTGGACCCAGGGGGCACTTTCATGATCACATAAGGGCTTCAGAATAGGGCTCATTTAATATATCTCCTTTTCTGGAATGCCCTTTCATCCACACTTGTCCTCAAGTGGAAGGATGAGAGAGAGAGAGATAATAGTGAAGCCCATGAAGGACTTTAGAGGATACTCTTCATATGGAAAAAATGCTGCCATATGTGCAATGGAATCAGTAGGAGGAATGTGCTGGATATGAATTAAGCTATAATGTTGATTTAATATTTATAGAATATGAGGTAAAACATTAGAAGACCCTTACGTCACTGGATAAGCACTGTATAGCTATTTCAGAGATGCTGTTTTTTCTGTTTGTGTGTTAATTTCAGTATTAAAATAACAAATATTTTATAAAACCTCCAAAATGCTCTTGAAAAGTTATAAATGCAAAACATAAACTTTTCCTGGGAGCTGCCTTCCCATCCCAGTGAAGGCAGAGGGGACTCAGCCCCAACTTCTGCAGCCCTGTGCACTGCAAGTGGCCGTTCGGGTGATGCTGCCTGGGTTTTAACTTTCCATGGGCTTTCTGGGGAATATCAGACTCCACATTTAATTGTATGCCAGGCGAAGAGAGGATTTAAGAAACTGGGAGGAACAACAGCAGCAAAAAAATGGGTGAGAAACAAGAAAAGGGTTACTGTGAAAATACAGAGGCCCCACTAGGTATGAGGAGTCTGTATTTTCCACTGCGGATACAATATTTTGGTTGCTATTATGTAGATGGTACTTACACCAAGCAGCTACACTTTAAGAATATGCTCTTTAGAGGTGCTGAATTTCTGCATTCTCCACCTCATTGAGCTGCAGCTACAAGCAGCCAGTTTCCCTGGAAAACAGGATCACCTAAACGCTTGTTTCCTGTGGGCCCTTAGCGATTGTAGTGCTAAATGCAGAATTATTCACACAGGCATTTATCCTTCCCTTTCCTTGGTATAAAAGGCACTGAGTTAAATTCTGGGCCAGTAAGAGGAGATGCAAATCCCCTGGCTTTAATGGATTTCTGCCACAGGTAAATTTGACTAATTATTTTCATAAAACTGAATGAGAAAAGGATACACATCTCAACATTTGTTGCTGATTTAGCATGTGGCATTAAAAAAAAAGGACAGGCTGGCTATAAGCTAGACAAAGCTATTAGACATTACCGTTCAGACAACACCTACCTCACTCCAAACCAGCATGGTGCCGAATATGACCTGTAACCCATCAAAGAAATTGTCTCCTATGATGATGACAGTGGCACCTCCTGTAGTCCATCCTTCACTTGGACTGATGGCTTTGATACATGGTGTAGCTGCTTTTCAACACACATGAAAAAGAGAAGTATTCTGCTGTTAGAACCAGATTTTAATGATAGAAGACTTGAGAAATATAAAATAAAAGGAGCTTTCATTTTCCCCCTTACTAACACAAAGATTTCAGCAATCACATTCTTTCTAGTACATGTGCATGACCTCAAACTGTATCTTTGGAAGCATTTTTTCTCAATTAATTCCTGTTAGATTTTGTTATCTGCATTGAACAAATTAACTTCTTTAAGCCTATATTAACAAAAAAAAATATCACAGCCTGATGGGCAGAGACCAATTGGAAATCAGGACAAATCCCTATCTTTATTCTATATGAAATGCGCAATACCTGAGTTAATAAAACAATCTCCAGTGAGCTTGCTTTATCATCCATCATAACCCAAATTCATTAAGGAAACTCCTATAAATATTATTGAAAAAATTGGCTAAGTAAAAAAGGGTGTAACCCTCAGCATTTAAGTATTCTGCAATCAAATCCAGGTTGTTCTAGTATTAAACCACCCTGCCCTGCTTAATGTTTTGGCTACTACAAAAAAAAAAAACCCAAACCCAATAAATAATAATAAAAAAAAACCCCAACCCTGCAATCCTGCCATCTAGTCATTCCAATTGCGTTGCATCTACTGGATAATTAAGAAGCTTGTGCAATGCATCCTGCCACATTCACTGAGGCTGTCCCCACTTTCACTAGCCACTTTCTTGGCAGCACATGTACTGAGTGCCTCCTGAGAGGATGTCGAAAACTCAAGCACTGCTCCAAGTAGTAAATTCAAACCTTAGGTAAGATCTTCTGATTTAAGAATATCTAAGCAGAAGCATGTTCAATAGCATATATCGGTGAGATAGGGCAACATAAACATCCACATACTGATTCTCCTCCTCTGCAGTACAGGAGTACCTAAGAATTTAACTGTGCTGAAGCAACAGGAATAACATTACTGTAAAAATAACCTGAATAAGACAAAAAGCTCTGGGTAACTCAAACGGCAACCCCACAGCTGTGGAATCTCAGGGTGGTCATATAGGTTGATGAAAAGCAACCCCATCCCAAATGCTACCAGCTTCTCCTTTCAGCACAGGGTGAAAATATGACACCATACCATTAGATAAAATTTTAGGTAGAGTGGGTACCTCAACAATTTCATTAGCCATGAAAACCTGAGTCTAGTAAAACTCCACCAGTCAACATCAATGTTGGAAAGAAAGATTCTTTCCTTTAGATACGAACCCAGTCCTCAGCAGAGAGAAGAGGCTGGCTCCACTGAAAACACATGCAGGGCTGCCATTGCCCACATTTATTCTGCAATGTCAATCAGGCACCAATCAGGTGTCAATCAGCAGGACTTCATTAGCTGCATATATATATATATGCATATATCCCTCTTCTTTTAGGGTTGCTGGCATTTGGCTGTCAATTGCTACTTGGCCAAAAGGCTGTCTGAGCTGTTAATTTGGTTTGTAACTTTGAGTATTTGATGATGTACTCAAGGGAGGGCACTCAGGCACTTCATCAGGTAAGGATTTACTAGGAAGACAGGAGTGTGAAAGCCACCCACATGTTAGCACCACCCAGACAACACCCTTGCACCCATAAATTACTTAATGCAGCTGAGTGGTGGCACAGCCCCTGCCCTACATTCTTCTAATTATAAAGACAATAAATTAATTCATTCACAGAAGCATACTTTAAAATGCTCCAGACGTAAAGTGGTAAAGAGACCCTCTGGACCTTTATGATTATTTAGTGAAGCTCTGGTCAGTTGGAGCTAATTGCCAGAGTCGGTGAGGCTGGTGAGAAGCTCCTTAGTCCTGGCCCATGGGCAGGACTGGTGAGCGTGGGGCTGGGAAAGGGAAGGAGATGGGAAGGGAGCTGTTGAGTCACCCTTAGCAGTGAGTGTTTCTGTGGGCACTGCTACAGACTCACACACGGTGATGGAACACATGCATGGGGAGCAAACAGACCCCGGCCCTACCTACAAAAGGTTGTAAGTGTCAGGCACAAACTTTTCCACTACTTAAGCCGACGGGGATGCCAGCTCCAGTGAAAAACACAAACACACAGGCAGAAAAAAATCATTACCCTGCTCCAAACTTTGCAGAGCACAGCCATTAACTTTTACATGAGCTAACAAAAGAAACATCCTAACATTACCGTCACGAAAATGTAGCGCGCACACAGAAGTAACTTCAATATGTTTAATTTGGATTCAAGTTACTTGCATAAAACTGTGCATAAAAACCATTGCAAAGTCCAAAACCAAATGCTTTCCTTTCAGCCAAGCTCACAGCAATGGATTTACAGTGAAAGCAGCTTTTCAAAATGCCATCTAGCTTTTTCACAAAATCAAACTTTTTCATAAATAAAAATTAAAATCATTTCCAAATTACATCCTTTCCAGTATTTCCAGTTGATTGTGGACACACACCCCCCACAATAAAACCCAAAGATAATCAGTTTCCCATGTGTCAGAGAATAAGCTACTTTTCTTAAAGGCTACAAACAACATTTTTTTCCTAAATACCAGTGAATGAAAACTGTTTGAGACCATAAGCCATTAACAGAAAACATATGCAGGCTTCAAAATTCTAGATTCAATTCATCTTTAAAATGAATACAAGATACTGTTCAGCAGTTGCAGGTCCCCACTGAAGGTCTTGCTATTTATCTGACAACGTTCTTTGCGGTACCTACATTGCACTCAGATGTGCAAGGTGCTGCACTGTCTGTGCTGCCTCCTGTATTTGATTCTGATACTTTATACACGTATCAAATTCCTGCCAAGTCCCATGGCAGCTGGGGAGACTTTGCACAGACACCCAGGTCCCTGCACTGGGACCGTGGGTCGTGCACTGGGACACTCTCGCCAGCAAAGTCAATGTGACCACTTGCACATGTAATTTTATTTAAATAAGTAGCAATTGTGCTGAATCAGTGCCTCACCGAAACTGCTGGCAATAGCCCAGGACACCTCCTCTGAGGAAGAAAAGTCAGGACTTGGTGGTTTAAAAAACAGGGCTGGGAAAGGGAAGGAGATGGGAAGGGAGCTGTTGAGTCACCCTTAGCAGTGAGTGTTTCTGTGGGCACTGCTACAGACTCACACACGGTGATGGAACACATGCATGGGGAGCAAACAGACCCCGGCCCTACCTACAAAAGGTTGTAAGTGTCAGGCACAAACTTTTCCACTACTTAAGCCGACGGGGATGCCAGCTCCAGTGAAAAACACAAACACACAGGCAGAAAAAAATCATTACCCTGCTCCAAACTTTGCAGAGCACAGCCATTAACTTTTACATGAGCTAACAAAAGAAACATCCTAACATTACCGTCACGAAAATGTAGCGCGCACACAGAAGTAACTTCAATATGTTTAATTTGGATTCAAGTTACTTGCATAAAACTGTGCATAAAAACCATTGCAAAGTCCAAAACCAAATGCTTTCCTTTCAGCCAAGCTCACAGCAATGGATTTACAGTGAAAGCAGCTTTTCAAAATGCCATCTAGCTTTTTCACAAAATCAAACTTTTTCATAAATAAAAATTAAAATCATTTCCAAATTACATCCTTTCCAGTATTTCCAGTTGATTGTGGACACACACCCCCCACAATAAAACCCAAAGATAATCAGTTTCCCATGTGTCAGAGAATAAGCTACTTTTCTTAAAGGCTACAAACAACATTTTTTTCCTAAATACCAGTGAATGAAAACTGTTTGAGACCATAAGCCATTAACAGAAAACATATGCAGGCTTCAAAATTCTAGATTCAATTCATCTTTAAAATGAATACAAGATACTGTTCAGCAGTTGCAGGTCCCCACTGAAGGTCTTGCTATTTATCTGACAACGTTCTTTGCGGTACCTACATTGCACTCAGATGTGCAAGGTGCTGCACTGTCTGTGCTGCCTCCTGTATTTGATTCTGATACTTTATACACGTATGTGCTTAATATCAAATTCCTGCCAAGTCCCATGGCAGCTGGGGAGACTTTGCACAGACACCCAGGTCCCTGCACTGGGACCGTGGGTCGTGCACTGGGACACTCTCGCCAGCAAAGTCAATGTGACCACTTGCACATGTAATTTTATTTAAATAAGTAGCAATTGTGCTGAATCAGTGCCTCACCGAAACTGCTGGCAATAGCCCAGGACACCTCCTCTGAGGAAGAAAAGTCAGGACTTGGTGGTTTAAAAAACAGGGCAGGTTGGTACCCTCTGCAGGCTCTACCTGCGACGCAGCGAGAGTGCTGTGCGTTCCCAAAAGATTTCAAGACATTATTTTCCCTTGGGACCAGTCACAAAAATGCAAGTGTCTCTAAAGACTGGAAGGGCTGCACAAAGGTGCTGCCCCGCAAGAGAAGTTGTACTGAAGGGTTGCATCCCGAGGAAGCTCAAGGAGACGTGCGGAGGGAGCCAGCCAGACTGCTACCTGTTTTTGAAGGCACACAACATGTTTATACAATGACATATTTGCAACAGCCAGTGTCGTTTGGGACATTGGTCTTACTAAAACTTTGCCCTTCCCAGGCCCTTTCCTTGGAGCACCAGGAAGGAGGATGGAAGAATCGGGTCCCATCTGCCAGTGTCACCACAGGTAACGCTGGGAGGGGGCAAGGCAATGACCTCAGCTCTATTTATGCCCCTGGTACAAATGTCTGGCCAGTTCAGGCCCTCAGCTCTTCATATTTCTTCTGTTAATCATTTGGCAACTTTCAAAGCGCTGTCTGGAAGGTGTTTACTTCTGTGCAACCCTAGAAAAACAGAGCTTGGCAGAATAATCTTTTCGTTGGAGACCTTCATTTTTCTACGTTTTGTTTTGGTCACAAGAGAAACCAAAGTACAGAACATTTTTTTGCAGAATGCAAAGTTCTAGAATCTCTATCTGGAATTAAATATATGACTTTTTAATATTTCCAAGAAAAAATATTTTATTTCAAAATATTATCACTTCATAATCCCTTCTGTAACACCAAAGCATCATTT